TCTATGAAACTCTAATATGCTTGCCAGGAGGGAACTTCATTGACATGATCAAGATTCTTTAATCTAAAACATAACATATGCTAAATTGATTAAATTTATAGTAAAACAGATAGATAGATAGATAGATAGATAGATAGATAGATAGATAGATAGATACATTCTTAGTTAACCTTTATATATCCTGCTAGTATGTAGTAACTGACCAGTACACTAAGACTACTTCCAGTAACTTACCATTATACAAAAAAGGAAAGAGGGACTTAAAAAAAATCAATGGAAAAAATGCCCAGTAATTCTAAGAAGGAAATAAAGAAAGATTTAGGAAAAATAACAGGGCATTCAGATGTTTGTAAACCAATGCACACAGAAGAGGTAGTAATCAATGAGAATTTTAATTTATCTCATAATAGAATTAGCATTATTCTGATATTTGGAAGAATATGTTCCATGATAGGAATATAGCAATGGAAGGATACAACCTTGTTCAAATAAATACTGTAGATCTAACAGTAGTAAAAGGGGAAAGATATAAGAGAAAGATATATCCCCAGAAGAGGTATCTGCAAACATGAAGCTCAAAGCTTTGTGTGATCCCCCTGTAAAGGCTTTTTAAAAAAGAAAACTTGAATTATATTGTTAGAGAAGGGTGTGGTGGGCCATCCAATTGACCACTTTCCTTTGACTTCTGATACACTTCTTTCCTTTCAGCTGGTCTACCTTATGTCTTCCTGACATATGTTCTTCGTATGCCATTCCTTAATATTGGTGTTATGCCAGACTTCTAGGCTTTGCTCTCATCAATATCTGTGTGTTTCCTCATTAATTGCCTTTATTTCCATGTCTCTTATTTCCACCTGTAAACAGATGATTCCTAAAGCTATAACTTCCACCCTGATATCTCTTATATACCTCTGCTTCTACCTTCTCAGTAACTCATAGACATTTCAAACACAACATGTCCAAATTGGAACTAGATATCATCCTCATAAAATGTGACTATTTTCTTCCCGCAGCCCTCATCTTAGTTAATAGCATTTCTGTCAACTTGGTTAAAAGCCTCTCTCCTGACTCTTCTGTCTGCCTCATAATCTTTTTCAATGCTAGGTCTAAAATGTCTTTACCAGCCCAGTGTTTCCTTGAGTACAATGACTTAGTTTTTGCCCTATATCCCATGACTGTCCTCTTGTGATATCCTTCTAACCAGTTTATTCACCTCCAACCTCCACCTGTCATCCTGACCTATAGTTTTTCTAATCTATCTTCCTCCACCCCTAATCCTGGCCCTGAGACAATATAGTTTATGGAAAGTCGTAGGTAGGGTTAGGGTGATCACATCTTAGAATTATCATGTAAGACATTCACACACTGGATGAGAAATCACACACTGCATTAATAGTCTATGGTTGGGCTGCCAACCAAGGACCAACGATCAGTTGTATAATCATTGAGCTTGCTTATTCAAAATAAAATTATTTTGTCTTATCCCAAATGTACTGACTAAAAATCCCCTAAGTTAGGCCCTTGAGTTGTATTTTTGTAGACTCTGCAAGTGATTGTGATGCACATCCGTTTTTGGAAACTCTAAGAACTTATCCAATTATAAGATTCAGTGATTATAACACTCTAATCAGAATCCAATTTTCTATTCTGAGAGAATAGTTACAAAAGTATTTTGTGCAATGGCAGCATCATTAAACTAAACATAAAGTCTTCTGAGTGGTTCACGTTAAATGAAAAAAAACATGCATTTGAATGTATAAATTCTTGTAAATTTGTGAAAATATTCACACCACATTAGAGGCATGCCTTATGTACATTTCTTCCTATGTATGTATCTGATGGGGTTTTCTTTAGTTTCAGACATGATGTTAATGGGTTACAAAGGAAGAGTTCAATAGTATGTTTGATGTAAAAATAGTGGTGAATGTTGTCACGGGAGAACATTTAGAATTACGGTGCTAATTATATCTATACAAAAGCAATTAAGATTTAGCAGAGCAGCAGAAAAAAGTAATAAATATTTATACATTTTTTTTCAGTTCATTATCTTTAGCTAATGAAAGGATTCCCACTTCACGTACCACATAACATGCTTCCTATACCAGTAAGTTACTGTGGACATTAATAGCTCATGACCTAGGAGGAGAAACAGGACCCTTTAGAATTAACTATAGTAGATAATAAATTTCATTGTAATATATGTGTTCTAAACAAACAATTATGGAAAAATAAGGGGAGGAGTGATTAATACCTATTTTTCTGTTGTAAAATAGTCTCTGCAAGGAACAAATCTATATAAGTATGGAACTAAACACCATTGTATACTAAAGCCTCAAATATTGAATCCCAACATATAATCAGTATATGTAAACATAGATGCCTAAAAATAAGGATTCAGGTATGTTCATTAGCAATGAGATATGTGTTTATTTATAATTAATGACATTATGCAAAATAATTATATTTAGTCTAGGCCATCTACATTTTTTAAGTTAAAAGCACTTCGTTTCAATATTAAATAATCAAGTTTTTAAAATAAGAATGCATTTTTCCATAGAAACAATTTTATAAATTGTGCTGAAAATTCTATGCTAACTCACAAATTCTATTAAACCTATAATGAATTGGGATGCCTGGGTGGCTCAGTCCATTAAGCCTCCGACTTTGGCTCAGGTCATGATCTCACTGTCCGTGAGCTTGAGCCCTGCATTGGACTCTGTGCTGTCAGCTCAGAGCCTGGAGCCTGCTTCGGATTCTGTGCCTCCCTCTCTCTCTGTCCCTCCCCTGCTCAAGCGCTTGCTCTCTCTCTCTCTCTCTCTCAAAAAATAAATAAAGATTTAAAAAATTAAAAATAAATAAACCCCATAATGAATTTAACAATAATATTAATGGTACTGTTTGAAATCTGAGATCTTGAAGAAAGAGACAGGCAAGGCAGAAATAAGGGACAGAGAATGTTTCCTTTTTACAAGAGCTGCTTTTAGGCGTATTTTGAAAGAACCAAATGCTTCTTTACTACCAGTACTTATTGTCATCTCTCGTACCTCCTAGTAACCATTAGTATTCAAAAACACTTACTACAACACCCTTGATCATGGGTAATGGGAATTTAATAGAAAAATCTCACACCTATATCAATTAGGATTTGGGTTGGCTACATATATCAGGGGGAAAAAGTAGCTTAAACAAGATAAATGTGATATACATAGTCTAGATCTAGTCAGGGGTTCCATAGTTAACAGGGATTCAGGCTCCCTCTATTTTTTCTCTTCCAAAACTCAGAACACATTTTCTGTCCTTAGTTACCTTATATTCCAAGGTAACTGCTGGAGCTCTAGCCACCATGTTTATATTCCAGGCAGGAGAAGGAGAAAGCCAGAAAGGGCAAAAAGGGTACTCTCCAAGATGAGTCACGTTCCTTTAAGGAGTTCCCGGCTTACATCTCTCTGGGTAAAACACCATCACATAGCACATCGGACTACAAAGGTTGCTAGAAAATGTAGTGTTTTAGCTGCACCCTTTACTACCCCCAACTGAAATTGGAGATATGTTGCTGAGAATAAAGGGGAGAATGGATATTTGTTGGCAAGTAGTAAAATATTCCTCAAATATCCAGTGCTCCAGATTGTTTAATTCCATTCCTACTCACTCAAGATAGTTTCTTTATTTTTATGTTTCTATTAAATGTAACACATGCTACTTCACACACACACACACACACACACACACACACACACACACAGAAATGTGGCTAAAGCAGTGGTTCTCATCTTTGGCTGCACATTTAGAAGCACTTAAAGTGTCTTTTAAAATTCCTGATACTCAGACCAATTAAATTAGAAACTTAACACTGAGACCCAGGCCACAGTATTTTAAAAAAAATGTCTCCAGGTGATTCCAGTGTGTAGCCCAGTTTGAGGACCACAGTCCTAAATAAAGAAATGTGAAAAGAAGGTGCATAACCTAAATGATGCCAAGTTTTGTCACTTTTTTCTGATGTGTAATGAAGTGATATAAAAACCTGCAAGCCATGAGTCGAAAATAATTTTAGGAGTATTGGCACTTCCCACACAAGCCAATTTTTTGTCTCTGGGGTCATTTTTCCTCTCCTGCCTCCCTCTTTTCTTTTAAAGTGTCTTCTCTTGATAACACTGGAACCATAGAGTTCTCTGAAAATCCTAACTGTTCTATACAGTGGATTCAAGGACGGCATAGATGGATCCAATGATCGCCATCCTTGATGTCTTGACCTCTCACATAGCTCCACATCCATTTAAACTCTCTATATTGCCTCAAATAATTTTCAAATCTGTCCACACTTTTATCTCATTCCAAATCCACACAGCAACCAAAGGAATATTTAAAACAGGTCTGACCATGCCATTCCTCTCCTGTACATAGATCCCTCCCATGACTTCCTATTACTCTAGGACTCTCTGCACTGCAAGATCCCTTGCTGCCTACCTCCCAGCCTTATCTAGGCCACCCATTACACTTGGTAGGTGGCCTCTTTTTGTGCCTCCAATGCCCCCTAGCTCTTTCCTTACAATTAATCTCTGTGTGCCAAACCTACTGAATCCCCAAACTCAGCCAAACCAACACTTCCATTTGCTAATTCCTGTTGAAGGAGGCTTTTATTGCTTACACAGTGTCAGGAACCATGCTGTGCTTCTTAATGGCCTTTATCACAGTTGTAAGTAATTATTTAGAAGCACTCCCTCCCCAATTATTTTTTATGAGAGCAAAGAACATGTTCTTCACCATTTTGTTTTCAGAACCGAGAACAGCTCCTATCCCAGAGTCTGTGTTTAATACTATAAAGATAAATATTTTATGAATGAATATATGAAGAAATGAGTACTATAGGAGACTGAGATTAGAAGGGCAGATTGTAGTCAAAGTGAAAGGGTCATTGGCAGCTGCTTGTAACTTAGGCACAAGTGACCCAAGTAAATGTTTCTTCCTTTTTTTTTTTCCAATATGTGTCTGTGTCTCTGCAGGTTGTGATCTGATCCCAGTACAGTATCTTCGCTGGGGTGACCCTGAACCCATTGCCGCTGTTGTGTTTGCCTGCCTCGGCCTGCTGGCCACCCTATTTGTTACTGCAGTCTTCATCATTTACCGTGATACTCCAGTAGTCAAGTCCTCCAGCAGGGAACTCTGCTACATTATCCTTGCTGGCATCTGCCTGGGTTACTTATGTACCTTCTGCCTCATTGCAAAGCCCAAACAGATTTATTGCTACCTTCAGAGAATTGGTATTGGTCTTTCTCCAGCCATGAGCTACTCAGCCCTCGTAACCAAGACCAATCGTATTGCAAGGATCCTGGCTGGCAGCAAGAAGAAGATCTGTACCAAAAAGCCCAGGTTCATGAGTGCCTGTGCCCAGCTAGTGATTGCTTTCATCCTCATATGCATTCAGTTGGGCATCATCGTTGCCCTCTTTATAATGGAGCCTCCTGATATAATGCATGACTACCCAAGCATTCGTGAAGTCTACCTGATTTGTAATACTACCAACCTAGGAGTTGTCACTCCTCTTGGATACAATGGTTTGCTGATTTTGAGTTGTACCTTCTATGCTTTCAAGACCAGAAACGTTCCAGCTAACTTCAATGAGGCCAAGTACATCGCCTTCACCATGTACACCACCTGCATCATATGGCTGGCCTTTGTGCCAATCTACTTTGGCAGCAACTACAAAATCATCACCATGTGTTTTTCAGTCAGCCTCAGTGCCACAGTGGCGCTGGGCTGCATGTTTGTGCCAAAAGTGTACATCATCCTGGCCAAACCGGAGAGAAACGTGCGCAGCGCCTTCACCACATCTACTGTGGTGCGCATGCATGTGGGGGATGGCAAGTCATCCTCAGCAGCCAGCAGGTCCAGCAGCCTAGTCAACCTGTGGAAGAGGAGGGGCTCCTCTGGGGAAACCCTAAGGTAAAGGTTGTGGGGGGGAGGTGTGGGGCGCTGGTCCCTGTAGCTGAAGCAGTGACATTTGCTTCCTGGGTCTTTTAAGTTTAAAATATCTGAGTGAATGAAAACTGTGGGATGCAGGGTGCTGGGAAAGGGGCCTTGGCCTTCTCATTGAATGGTTTTCATGGGGTTAATTGGATGTAGAGCCAGTTACTTATGCCAAAGCCAGAAACAGAGAAGTTGAGATAAAGAACAAAAGCAGAGTTTCGGCAAAAGAGAAGTGAGGTCCAAAGGGACAGGGAGAGCATGGTTAAGTCATTAAGCCAAGGAAAGGACCTCCAGGTCCGGAGGGTATAGAGGAACATAGTGGACCAAATTCTAGTTCCCAGAACACAGTAGAGAATTTATTGTTAACAAAGATCAATGCTGAGCACAGAGTGCCAAGAACCTCACACACCTGACTGCGTTATGTGCCTGAACCTTTTCCAAGCTCAGCAGAGTCCTTGACTGTTCATCCCATAGAGGCATGTGAATGTAGAATTTATATTTTAGTTCTTAATGGGCAACCTGAACTCTTAAGGAAATGTCTAAGAATCTGAAAGGGTCAAAACAAAGGGACTTTGCATATAATCTTCCTAAACAACTAGCCAGTTTCCCATTGTGGCCCACAGTCCCACCCCATCCTTCATGCTCAGTATCCCAGGTAGTAGTTATTGGTCACCTCTTATCTGCAAATAAGCCATCAGCCAATGATTTACCCCTATGTGAGGCACTTCTCTAAGTGATAAATGACGCCTATAGCACTTCAAAAGGCAATGAGATCATCTTTTTTTTTTTTTTAGCCAATTAAGATCTGTATCTTTAATAAACATCTGGAGAATACTGGCAGCATAGATTACTATATTCCATGTTGTCCCAGAGAAGTGTGGTTCCTTAAAGTCTGTTTAAGTATGACAGACTCTTAACAACTGAAAGTGTAACCTATCATCCCATAGAGCTGCTCAGATCACTTGCTCCTTCCCTGCTTCTCTGAGGAAGGGGAGACGGTGGCCTCTGTGCACAGCTGATATGAAATTAGTTCAACTAATAACTTCCCAGTATGAGGGCAAAGAGATCAGTGGCTTGGGAACAAATTTGGAGGTATTAAAAAGGCTACATAGGGTGTTACTGGGAATAAGGACTTCCTCCATTTAAGAAGGGCATATCAGTCAGAAGAGCTAGTCAGAACATTATCTGCTCACTCTACAGAGATTTGACAATTTTCCTAAAATCTAGATAAATAAGTGGAAGACAAACCACTTACAAGTGGAAGATAAATAGCTAAATATTATTGCTTGAACAGTTCTCTTATACTATCATTTAGCCTGCATGGAAAGTCCCACCTTTCCATCAGGCCTAATTCTTCAAAGCCTGAATAATGGTGATGATAAAGATACCATGTCTTCTGAGGATTGAAAAGCACTCAGAATACTTAATCACGTAGCTTAATTCATTTGCATTATTAACTTCTATCCTTGCCTCTTTTATTTTTTTTTTCCTAATTCTTGTTTGCCTCTCATTGCTTTCCATGTACATTGTTCAAGGTATTTAACTAAATTGTAAATCTTGGGGAAAACAACAGTGTCTTCTCCTACTTCAATAAATTATGACAATATCATGGTCTGTCCACAGAAGGCCCTTCATATATTTAACTTGCCAGAATATTTTCCATCTGCTTTCTTAACTCCTCCCTCCCTAAAATATTCTTTTTCTGAAACTTCTGCAAGATCAGCCTTTTATTTTGTCTAAGAAAATGTATTATATATATATATTTTTTTTTAATTTTGTAACATTTATTTATTTTTGAGAGAGAGACAGAGTGTGAATGGAGGAGGGACAGAGAGAGAAGGAGACACAGAATCTGAAGCAGGCTCCAGGCGCCAAGTTGTCAGCACAGAGCCCGATGCGGGGTTTGAACTCACGAACCGTGAGATCATGATGTGAGCTGAAGTCGGACACTTAATCACCTGAGCCACCCTGGCGCCCCGAGAAAATGTATTTTTCAAACTTCAATTTTACCAGCCTTTGTTTAAACTCTTTCTTCAAGTAATATGTACATTGTTCAAGGTACCTTCCAAGGCACCTTCCAAGGTATCCTGTGCCTTCCAAGGCATCCTGATAGGTATAAAAAAAAGGTTGCCAGAGGGATAGAATTGTGAGCTTGTGCCTAAGCACCCCAAAAACTCACTAGGGCAGGCTACTTAGACAGTGTGGAGCAGTGGTGAAGAACATGGTTTTGTAGCCAGTTTCTCCTGAGTCTGAATACTGGCACTGCCATTTCTTCTGTCTGAGGCTTAGTTTCTTCATCTGCCACGTTAAGATCATATCATCTACCTCAGAGAATTGTAAAAGAGTGAAAGAAATAATATATGTGTAAAGGCCAGGTACACAGTAGATATTTCAATGAACATATCAGAGTACAGAGCTAGGCAGCTCTGGGATTGAACATTGGCAGCATCGCCTACCAGCTGTGGGACCATAGGCAAATCAGTTAACCTCTCTATGCCTTAATTTCCTCCTCTGATGAATGAAGATAATGAAATACAGACTTCACACAGTGTTTGTGAGATTAAACGAGTAAATACATGTAAAGTGTATACCATGCAGGAAGCACTTCTTAAGTGTTTGTTTGCTATTATTTTTAACTACGTTAACAATTGTCAGTCTTCTTCCACACCTGAAAACTTCTGTGTCAGGTATGCAAACAAGATGATCCTAATAACGAAGAGCACATCATAAAAGGCAGTATAGATCTATAGACACATTAATTACACAGCCTGAGCTTCCAGAGTATCTCCATTTTTACATGGTCTAGTTCCTTGCCAGATTGTAGAGGATACCGTTCATCCTAATTTAAGCAAAATAAGCTCCTTGGGAGTGAGAGCCTTCTCTATCTTGTCATTGCTGTGCCTCCAGTGCCTGGAAGTCCCAAGAAGGGTGCTTGACACATAGAAGACACTAAATAATCTTTGGTATATTTATAGAGCAAATAAATTTGGCAAGGTAGTAATGCATCCCCTGTACTACTATCCCCTGGTGGTTCTACAACCTTTTATAACATTAAGCCTACTGTGATCTGTATTATAAATATCTCCTGCACTCCTATGGTCCTCAGTTTCTGCTCAAGAATCAGGTCATTAATCCCATCCACTGATCTGATGCATTGCTATAATTCTAACATAGCTCTAGTAACATTAAGTTACATTTTCAACTGTTTTCTTTATACTTCAGTAAATAAGGGGCAACATAAATAACAAAATTCACTAATAGTGCCAATAGAAAACAGAAACTCTCGAGATTTGTGGCAGTATTTTAACTTGTGTTCGTTACATGGCTATGTAGTCCTTGATGATTGGATTTTGCATTCAGCATTATTTGAGTATGAAAACATCAAAGAGAATAAGGAGGGACCTTTGGCAATTGTTGGGTTTTCTGCACGCAGTCTTGTCAAATGCTGGTCTGTATGATTATAGCTGAGACAGGCTATAGTCTGATTATATAGTGATTTCTTTTTTGCCCTTAACCAGCACACTCAGACTGGAACCTGCTTTCAATAGAAGAAAGGCCAGAAAAAACTATAATACCCTTGCATCACACAATCCCCTGTCCCCTTCTTTTAAGCTATAACCCTAAAAAATAAATTAGATCCAAACTAAAATTATTTTCCTCTGTGTTTCCCATGAGCTCTCATATGAAGTATTTCATCTCTGTTATCCAACACCAAGATGTTTAGAATCTTAATATAGTATTTATCACATTGTAAGACATAACTGGCTATGTATGCATTTATCTTCCCTTTTATTTTATAAAGGCCAGTATGTATAACATTATCTACCTCTAGGGCTTAAATAATGGGGAAACAAGTGAACTCAGAGCTTCTAGTATTTTCACATTTTATTCTAAATTACTTTCATTAGTTGGGCTTCTCAGACTTGAATTCTGTAATATGCCAATAAACCTATCTATTGGGATCTATGGTGGGCTTAAGTAGTTAACTTAACTCTCTGACTGTAGGTCTCTGGGGAAAAGCAGCTGCTATGCAGGACCCAGCCTGGTTCTGCTTTCTTACATCTGTTACATGGAGAAGTGGGCTCCTAGAAACCCAGAGTGGGTCTGGGCCCTGTTTGAAAAGGCCTATGCATATCCCTTCCATATCTGATGGCAGAAAGCTAGGGCTCCATTTTGAAGATGGCACTAATTTCATACTCTAGAGTGAAAATAATACCTCCCGAGATTATAGTGACTGTGTTTCCAAAAGTTAGGACACACTGTTGGAGCAGTAGATGTAGGACAGTAGATGCAAATACGGAAAGCTAGTTTATAGTTCTGGCTTTGGAGCCACACCTGGAATGAAATCTAGCTGTGTGAATTTGAACAAGGTATGCCAGTTTGTCTCCTTAGCTGTAAAATGGTAGATAACGATCCCTGTTGTGAGAGTAAATGAAGTGATGAGTGTTAAATGCTTAGCTATTAGTGCGTTAAAAGCATTCAATAAGTGGTAAACTTTTTAGAAATGTGTTCAGCTGCAAGTAAGAGAAAGCCTGATTTTGAGAGACTTACAGGATTTGTATGGGTTTTGCTTTCCTCACGTTACAAGAATACGTAGACAGACAGCTCCTGGTGTTCCTCCAATGCTCTCAGTGGTGCCAGAGCCGACGTCTCTGCTGTTCCCCAGGCCTTTTACTAATGGTTCCACAGCAGTTCCATGCATTGCATCCTTTTATTAGGGAAAACAACAGTCTTCTCAGAATCCCATAACAACTGCCTTTATGTCTCATTGGCCAAACTGTCTCATGTAGCTACCCCTGGCTGCAAGAGAGTAGAAAAAAGCTTGCATTGAGCTTTTACACCTTCTATAATGGAAATGGAGAGGGAGGAGGGAAATGGAGAAAGAGAAGCAAGTCAAGTGCTTGTGGGATAAGCCCATGAATAGTGTCTGCCATGGAAAGTGGTAGTACCTAGCAGTAGTAGTGGCAGTAGTAATG